GCATAGGTTTATATGTGATGCATCAAAAACAATTTATTGAAGAACAAAGTTTAGGAGTAGTTTTATACCTCTTGATCTAGATCTAAGACCAAGGATTGACCACCTCCAAGCTCTTTGCTCCTTGAACTCCTTGAGCCTAGCCTCCCTCCTTGCCTCCTCCACTTTGTTGAGAATGAGTGCTCCTAGGTCCTCTTCAAGTTTCCAAAGATATGAAAACCTCTAAAGATCCTCACCCACTTTGTAATGAGAAAGATGAAGGAATTAACCAAAGGGTGATAAGATGATTAGCTAAAATTTCCCTTTGGTGGCCGGCCTTTGAGGTTAGAGAGAGAGAGATTTTTCTTTTCTTTTGTGTATCATGAACCACCTAACACACTAACTCATGTTTCATCATAATGTTCCTTTTATTACATAAAGAAACAAGTCAACAATTGACCCACTCTCTCCCTTCTCTTTGGCCAGCCTTTGATGTTTGGTTTGGGCTTTGGGCTTTTAATTATTTCAAGTCATCCAATGCTTGAATAAAAGCCCAATGGGTTTTGGCCCAATGGGCCCAATTAAACCCGAACGTTTCTTTAAGCCCAAAACGATCTTTATCGCTTTTATGATTTCTTTAGACTTTCTAAATTAATCAAAACACTTAATTAATCCAATTAATTATTTCCTTCATCCATTAGTTACTCACTACAAGAGTGTATTGGTAAACAATCTTTTAGGTTCTAATTAGCAAGGCAGTGAGGTGATTGGCACCAATCCAATTGATTATCCAATCACTTAGTGAATTAAAACTTACTTTTAATTCACCTTCCTTTTAATGACTACATTTAATCATCTAGAAGAACTCACAAGCCATGAGTGACATCTAACCATATATCATGGCTACCCAAGCTAATGTAGAAGTTATTCGGAGAACCTATTCAGTTGGAATTACAATGTAATTCGATCCTTCTCTAAAACAATACTCTCAATCACATTACTAGGGTATGGATTTATAATGTCAAACCCCTAATGTGATTATTCCTTCTTATATGATTCATTTGAGACGTATAGGAACGCTTTCCTTTATTACGCTCGATACTTCGGCCGAAGATTCCCGAATCATATCTTAGAGTATTCATCCTCTCTTATCGAGGATTAGAGATTCCTTGTTACGCATTCACTTGCCTTCATGGCTAAGTGGCTTAACCCCAACGATGCATTGGACACTCGCGAATGGAGTGACTTTAACATAATCAAAGATTAAGTACTTAACCACAAGACAACGACGATGCCTCAGGTCAAAGGATTACTTACATTATTCCAACCATTAGAGTTACTTGCTTGACATGTGAGTAGACCTCCATGCAAGTACTCTCGTTCGATTGTGTTAAGTGAACTCATTCCCTTAATGAGCACCTACATGCTTGTCTTAGTGTCGCTACACGAATGGGATGAGACTTTCCATCCTTCCAATTGAAGCGGACATAGTATGTACCAGTCTATGGATTGTCAGTATCCCTCCGACAATCCTTATGACCAGGAACCTTTTTGGACATGATGGTTATGAGAAGAAGGTCTCTGTAATCTAACATCATTAGGTTACTTCTTCCATCGATCCATTGTCCATGGATTCACTATTTAGGACATATTTCGTTCATTGAGATAGTCCTAATTAGTATCTTTGCCTTCCGATGTATAAGAGTCATATATACATCAATTCATTGTCCTAAAAGGTTTCTTCCAAAGATTGACTTTCAGGGCATATTTCCAACAGAAATGCTATGGCAAAGGAGCTTCAATCCCTCCATGAAAATAACACATGGACTATGGTGAAACTTCCAAAAGGAAAGAAGGCGGTGGGGAGTCGTTGGGTGTACAAAACTAAGTTTCATTCAGATGGCACAATCGAAAGGAATAAGGCTCGCTTGGTTGCTCGAGGTTTTACACAAACCTATGGCGTCGATTATAAAGAGACATTTGCTCCGGTGGCAAAAATGAACACTGTTAGAGTATTGTTGTCGGTTGCAATTAACAATGCATGGCTTCTTTTTCAAATGGATGTTAAAAATGCTTTCCTGCATGGTGAACTTGAAGAAGAGGTTTACATGAAGCTACCCCCAGGTCATCCTCAATCAAACAATCCAGAAATGGTGTGCAAACTCCATAAATCCATTTATGGTCTCAAGCAAAGTCCACGTGCATGGTATGCCAAGCTCAGTCATGTTCTGGAAAGGGTTGGTTTTTGTCGAAGTATTGCGGATTCTTCCCTATTTGTTCGTTCCAGCTTAGTGGGTAAACTAGTTGTGCTCATTTATGTTGATGATCTAATTGTGACAGGTGATAATATGTCAGAGATTAATGCTCTTAAACAGTATCTCAACAACAAGTTTGCTATCAAGGATCTTGGCACTCTCAAATACTTTCTGGGCATCGAGATGGCACACTCTCACAGGGGTTTCTTCCTCAACCAACGCAAGTATGTCATGGATCTTCTTCACGAAGCAAAAATGACAGATTGCAAGCCTGCTCGTACCCCCTTGGATAGCAACTTGAAGCTAAAAACTCACGGTGATCCAGTTCCCAATTTAAGTTACTATCAAAGAATGGTTGGCAAACTCATTTATCTGACTATCACACGTCCTGATATATCATATGCTGTCAGCATTGTTAGCCAGTTTATGCACTCTCCAAGCATGGATCATTTGAAGATTGTTCATCATGTGCTACGTTATCTTAAGGGTTCCATTGGTAGAGGAATTCTTATGCGCAACAATAGTCACACTCAGATCTCAGGCTATACTGATGCTGACTGGGCAGGCAATTCTCTCGATCGCAAGTCTACCACTGGCTTTTGTACGTTTGTGGGAGGCAACCTAGTTACTTGGAAAAGCAAGAAACAAAGTGTTGTTGCACGCTCTAGTGTAGAGGCAGAGTATCGTGCTATGGCGTCCATTGCTTGTGAACTTATTTGGCTCAAAAGCCTTCTGTTGACTTTAGGTTTTCCTCATCAACAACCCATGTCCCTACACTGTGATAATCAGGCCGCAATGCACATTGCATCGAATCCTGTATTCCATGAGCGAACTAAACATATTGAAGTTGATTGTCACTACGTCAGAAATCAAGTTCAGTCCAAGGTGATCGACACTCACTACACGCGCAGTCATGATCAACTTGCGGATATTTTCACAAAAGGATTACCCTCTGCTGATTTTCAACGTGTTTTGTTCAAGCTTGGATCAATTAATCCCTTTGATCCAGCTTGAGGGGGAGTATTGGAAGAAAGCATGGAAGAAGTTCTAGGGCTGCTTTACTTTTCTAGGGCTGCTTTACTTTTCCATGTTTCCTTCCATGTTTTCTGCTTCCATGTTTCATGCTTTGCTTTTTCTTTCTTTATGTTTTGCTTTTCCTTGTTTTCGGCTCCTCCTGTTTCTTTTCTTTTCTTCCGCTCATTTATATGAGCTTTTCATTGTACTTGGTTTCACACAATACAAATATAGACATTCAAAATTCAATACTTCCCCTTATACTGCTCACACTGGTCTTCCATGTGCCCAATTAAACTGCATAAGAAACATGTAATTAGAATCTGTTCATATTGAAGATCAATACTCACCATGGACCCTTTGATAGAGAGCAACAAACTTTGACGTAAGGGTTTCATAATATCGATCACAACACAAATACGCATAATCCTCCCCTGAACATCTCCTTTTCTAGTTTGATCAATAAGCACATGTTCGCCTATATGATTCCCAATAAACTACCCCATATGTCGCAACATGTATGCCAAGGGCAAACCCTTAACTTGGATCCGAAATTCCTGATCATGAAGAGCAATCTGAACAGAATGAGCCAAAGTATCGGCCTCTGCCAGAACCAATAACGCTTCATCATACAACCAATGACCACCCTTCCATCACCATTGCTCTTTCCCGATTGTTATCAAAACCAAATGAAAACAAATCGTCATCAAATTCTACAATCGTCACCTTGGCCTTAGGGCGCCAAAGATGCATCATACAACGCTTGAACCTTTCTTTGCTAATCGGCTTTCGAGACAACACTTTCCCAACTAGAAAAGCCTTAGTCATTTTGAGTAGAGAGCCTTCCTTGTCATCTATCACCACCACCCTATTCTCCTTTGTTGTAAGATCCAACCGTGTAGCAAAATTCTCAACCATGTCTTCCATAATCCCTTGCACAACTCACAAGCAACAGTTAAAAACCCAACGACACTTCTCCCCAACCAACTGGAAAGACCGGATCAACATCCACAACAGTAGACGCCACGAATTAATCAGACATAAACACGAATCCCAGAAATCGAATTGACTTCGACGCTGCCGCCGTAATAAGAAACTGCCGTCACTCTCCTAGTGCACCTAAGAAACCCTAGGAAACCCTAGAGAGCATATTCTTGTATAATTACTATCAAGTAATAAAAGAAATACATTAATCTCAAAGCTAAAATGTTTTAAATATAAGAAATATGGTGCACCTTATAATCTTTCATACATGGTGAACCTTTTAAATTTGGATAATACCCCATTTACTAATAACTTAGCTTGAGCATATTAAATCAAAGATCAGAACCATTTAATTTCTTAAAAAAATTAGAGATTTGGCCAACACTAATAAGGGATGTATCTCACGAAGGTATATTATTAGCCATATTAGAACCATATGGTTACTTAACATGCAAGGTAAACCCCATGCACCATTTATGACTTATGAGCTTACCCATCAGAATTGTGACAAATAAAAAGTAATTTGTTTAATTTCTACAGAAAATGATGATGTTCCCACACATAATTAAACGAATAGATTTTCCAAACCAATTTGTACAAACATTATAAATAAATAAAAGAAAACTAATAAAAGAGAAATTTCCGAGAGAGAAACTAAAGTAGAAAGAAAGAAATAAGTCAACATTCAACAGTCAACGTTTTGAAAATAAGAGGCAGCAGTTACATTTGCTTTGTATGTTCCTCTTGTTCTTCCAATTTTTCAACTCTCACGTTCATACCGAAACCAAAACCAAACAGAAGTTCTCCGACTCGGAGTCTGAGCTTGAAACGCATAAAATAAACTTTTGCAATCCGCTTCTCTTCTCTCTCACAAATCCATTCGGACTCTGGAGGAGGAAAGGCCGATACGCCAAAGTGAATTAATTAAGCAGGGATTATGTCTTCCTTGTCTACAATTCCGATACGCCTCCTCAAGGATGACGAGACCGAACGGCCATGGTTCCATCAAAAAAGCTCATACGACTTCAACAGCAAGATTATGCTAACAGCCATCATTTCATTATCCGTCGTCGTTCTCCTAGTAATCGTGCTTCATACCTACGCAAGGTGTGTCCTCCGACGCCAAGCCCTTCGCCGAGCGGCCTGGCATCATAATTTGGGATCAACCGTGGCTCATGCCCACTCCGTTGAGTCTGAGCCACCCAAGATCGGACTCGAGCCATCCGTCATCGCCGCCTTGCCCATATTCGTATTCAGACGTGCGGACGGTCGAGATGGTCGGGATGACAACGCAATAGAATGCGCTGTGTGCTTGAGCATGTTGGAGGATGAAGAAATGGCACGGCTGCTTGTAAATTGCAAGCATAGTTTCCATGCAGAGTGCATCGACAAGTGGTTGAGTTCCCACACTACCTGCCCCATTTGCCGGACGGAGGCGGAGCCACGTCTGCAGCTCGAGCCACGAGAAGGTCCCGCGGCCGGAACGCCCACAGCTCCGCCATTGGAGCATGTGAATTCTGTGTTGTCACCATCATGTATGGAAGGGACATCAGAAGGGGCTCAATCCAGCTCAGCTGGTACTAAAGTAAATGCTCCTGTTTCGAGGTTGAGTTCTTTCAGAAGAATCCTTAGCATGGACAGATCTTCGAGACGGGTTCAATCTTGTGGTCAAGAAGATGGTATAGAAGACTTAGAGAGGCAGTGAATATTGCAACAATTATCGGTAATATTTTAGCATAATTTTGCAACGAGTACTTTTTGTTTATTGTTACATAATTTTTGGTGTTAATTATTAATTTCATGTTATCGCTAATAGACGATTATAAAAAAACTTTGCTTGGTCGTTATTTATTGTCAAGATTCTGTGTGTATATATATAGAAGATTTAGAGACAATGAATATTGCAACAACTGTTGGTATAATATGTTAGCATAATTTTGCAATGAATACTTTTATTTATTGTTACATAATTTTTGGTGTTAATTATTAATTTCATGTTATCGCTATAGACGATTATAAACATCCTTTGCTTGGTCGTTATCTATTGTCAAGATTCTGTGTGTGTGTGTGTGTGTGTGTGTACTCCGATGGTCATGCATAGTGAAGGATATTGAATTGCACGGTCTGACGAAGACTTAATCGTAGTTTGGTGGCCTAAAAAATAGTTAGATATGATAATTACAGCTACTATAATATTATATTAAGGCCAAATCTCACGTTGTCCCAATAGTTTAGGTGAAGTTCACTTTTGATCCATGTAGTTTATTTTCCTCCAATTTGGTCTATGTAGTTTACCAAAACATGTAATTCTAGGACACGTCACATTCTCCATTCATTTAGTTAACGAAAAAAGCATGTGCCACTCATATGCATTGGCAATTTAATAAACTTCACCTAAACTATTGACCAAAAAAAAAAAGCGGTGTGAATTGACATTTTATTAGTAAACTTTATCTAAACTACGGGAATAAAAAAATGAGATTTGTCCTATAGTAGCGGCTTTCATTTTATAGTAAACTACGGAGAAACCCCTAAAATTAGCATCTCGTATGCATTACCAGTAAATTAATCATTTAGTTGTCACCCGCCCTAGGTTGAATTTTTTTATTAACTTATGCTCAAAGTGAACACGGTTTTCGTGGAGTATTGTTCAAAGTGTTTTTTCTAAAGTGGAGTTATATGTGTAAAATACCTAGAGATCACTTGGGGATTGGGGCACTTCAAGCTATTTTTGAGATTTTCCAACCTTCAACCTTATTTGGTTTCTAGTTAGGATTGAAGTGAAATTGAAAACTCTCCAAACTCGATGTATGTTTGAAGGTGCATGAGAGTAATTTTTTATTTTGAGAAGATTAGAAGGGGATCAGACAATCCTCAATCAAAATGTGCTAAACGCTAAATTTTGTAACCCCAAAACCAAATTTAGCACCAAAAGCTGTATTCTCTCCCAACCGTGCTGTGCTAAAATATAGAACCCAAACTATGTTTACTTTCCAACAATTATTTTATCCTCATTATTTTTTTAAATAATTTTTGTATAACTTATCTCTATATATTTTGACACACCCCGACCCGCAATGTCCACCTGAACTCCGAATCGAGCTGTGCTGGCCAACACCCGAAGGGTGACGAAGCCATAAAGTGTAGTGACATGGAAAATGTGAATAAATTTAAACCTAGAAGTGCCTAAATACAAGAGTGCGCATGTGAGCGGGAATGAACCCATTTCACCCGTGATGTCAAAGCATAAGTACAGTACAGTAAAATAGGGTGAGAATTATACCATCGAAGGTAATCATCTACACCAAAATTTTCCAATAATCCTCGTCGGTACGAAAGCTCTACTAATAGAACATGGAGGGGCAAAAAAAAACAAGGGTTAGTTTGCTTGAAAATAAAGTTTTAATAAAACCTTTCTGAAAACATTATAACCCTTCGCCGTAAAGCAAGTATAGTTTCCAGAATACACATACTATGTATAGTAAGAAAATACCTATCGTAGCTTGCAAAATCTCATGAATTCAATACGACCCAATAATTCGTAAATAGATGCATGACGTTAGTAATCGTAAAATCTTGCATAAGCAAACATATCAAATCAAGTGCTCATCATTGACACATGCTGACACACGAGTTCATGCAATGGTAATCTGACATGAATAGGACTAGGTGTAACAATGATGTACGCTCTAGTACTACAATCACGTGAAGACTAGCGCTATGCGCAACACATACGAGTCCTAATTGCCTATAGCAATCTAGGATAGAATTGACACCTACTAGGGATGGCAATTCTAACCGTTAAACCCGATAATCGTGGATAACCACCCGAATGGATTGGATTTGGATATGAAAATTCGGGTATGGTTTGGATATGGGGAAAAACCGTGAACTTTATTCGGTTATGGTTTTGGATATGGTTATAGGGGTACTCAATCCATATCCGTACCCGAATCTGATATGGATATTATATATATATATATATATATATATATTTGATATATATTTCGAAGTCTTGGAATATGCATTTCGATCAAAATATTCAATTATTCATGCCCACAATATTCAATTATTCAATTATGCAATTATGCATTTCGAAGTCTTGGAATCATGCCCACAATATTCAATTATGCATTTCCTTATAGTACAAATTCATTATGCATGCATCAAATCCTACACTATCTTTATTATGCACCAAACATCATACATGGGGCATACCAACAACCTCATCAATTCAATACTCTTATTGTTATACTCAACCAAATTAATTCATCGAATCATTTTATATATCAATTATCAAATGTTCCAAGTTTATCAGATTCATCTATCTTCAAGAGTCTCACTATTAACAAATTAGTGCATGTTGTCAGCTCAATAGGTAATCTTTCATTCTTTTTCATGTTATTTGATTCATGGAAATTATCAATTAGCGTCAGTTTTTCAGTTTATTACATATGTTATGAGCCCATAGAATTATGCACAATTAAATCAATAATTGTCTTCTTGTTTGTCGTTATATATTTAGTTTACATGTTAATTGATTCAGTTTCAGTATTATACCATGTCTTTGTTACATATTAATGGATTTGGTTGTGTTTGCAGCAATCAAAATGTCTAAAAGAAAATTTAAGTCTCAAGAAGAAACAATATCTACCCCAACTAATTGTAATCTAGCACCTACATTGAATCTAAGTGTTGTGCAACAAGAAATACCAAATCAAATTGCTCAACCCCAAGATATACCAACTCCAAATGAGGTCGCTGGTGAGACTGAGGAACCTGGGGGTGATGATGGTGAAGGTAATAATTCGAGACTTCGTAGTTTGGTGTGGCAACATTACACAAGAACATTAGTTGATGGGGGTGATGAAAGCAATATGTAATTATTGTAAAAGAAGCTTGGTGGGAACACTGGAAATGGAACCAGCCATTTAAGGCATCATGTGATGATATGTCCATGTCGGAGGCAAAAAAAATTGAAGCAAACACTAACCCAAAAAGTAGGAGATGGGAAAGTAGAGTTGTATACATTTGATCAAGAAAGTGCAGGGAGGGCTCTCGCCCAAATGATAATATTGCATGAGTACCCTCTTTCCATGGTTGAGCATGTTGGATATAGAAACTTCATGAGTGTTATCCAACCGTTGTTTAAGGTTGTTCCAAGAAACACAATCAAGAGTGATATCCTGAAAATATATGATTATGAGCGTTCGAAAACAATGCAATTGTTGGATGAAAATAAGAGTAAAATTGCCATAACTACTGATATGTGGATTGCAAGCAATCAGAATAGAGGATTTATGGTAATAACATCACATTTTATTGATGACTCTTGGATGCTGCAGAGCCGAATAATAAGGTGATATTTCTAATACTTTAATTTCTATTTAATTATTATCTAGCTTTAGATTTATATTTCAGATTCTTTATTGTAACCATCTTCTTTGTAATTTTTTTCAGATTTATTTATGTGCCTTGTCCACATACCGCCGAGACACTTTCAGATGTTTTGATGGAGTGCTTGCTAGATTGAACCTCGATCGTAAGCTTTCTACCTTAACCATAGATAATTGCACTACAAATGATAAAATGATTGATCTTATTCTTGAAAAACTTTCTAGTAGTTCACTTTTGTTGGGTGGAGGGTTTTTTCACATGCGTTGTTGTGCGCATATATTAAACTTAATTATGAAGGATGGTCTGGAAGTGATTGGTGGTGGTGTTGAGAAAATTCGTGATAATGTTGTTTATTGGACAACAACACAAAAAAGAGAGGAAAAATTTGAGGAAGCAGCACGTCAGTTGAAGCTTCCAAGTACTAAGAAGATGGTGCTTGATTGTAAAACTCAATGGAATTCCACTTTTTTAATGATTCAATCTGCTTTGATTTACAAGGATGTTTTCCCTCATTTGAAACAACGAGAGTCGCAATATAAGTGTTTGCCTGATGATAGAGATTGGGAGATGGCAAGAGAGATTTGTGAGAAGTTAAAGTTGTTTTATAATGTCTTCGAGTTGTTTTCTGGAACTAAGTACCCTACAACCAATCTTTATTTTCCAAAGATTTGTAAGATCAGGTTGTCGCTAACCCGGTGGCTTACCTCTAGACGTGATGAAATAAAAAATATGGCAAGAAGTATGATTGAGAAATTTGATAAATATTGGAGTGTGATTCATGGAATAATGGTTGTAGCTACTGTATTGGATCCAAGATTCAAGATGAGGCTGATTGAGTATTTCTTTCTTCTTATGTATGGGCAATATGCTTCGAATGAAATTGATAAGATTCGCAAATATTGTTATGATTTGGTAAAAGAGTGTGGATCTAATCATATTTCTAACATGAGTCATCAACCATCATTCACTTCATCTCATTTGAATCAACCTGACTTTGAAGAGATGAATCCTTTAATGGATAACTTTGACTTGTTTGTTTCTAGTACTGTAAGTACTGATAATGTAAAGTCAGAATTAGATCACTATTTGGATGAGGCTGTTTTGCCTAGAACATTTGATTTTGATATTTTGGGTTGGTGGAAATCAAATGGGACTAAATATCCTATCTTAAGTGCTTTGGCAAGGGATATATTAGATATTCCTATATCTACAGTTGCTTCCGAATCAGCTTTCAGTACTAGTGGGAGATTTGTAAGTCCACATCGTAGTAGACTTCATCCAAAGACATTGGAAGCCTTAATGTGTGCCCAAAATTGGTTGTGAAAAGAAATTCAAGGTACCCCAAAGTATTAATTTATTTTCATCTTATATTTGTGCATGTTCTTTAATCTTAATTTCGAACTTATTTTTCAAACTTAATTAATTAGTATGCATTCAGTTTTTAGAACTAATTTAAGTCTTTATGTATCACAACTAGCTTCTTGTTCTAATGCACACGTCGGTTGCTACACTTATTTTGAAGATATGGATATGGATGAGGTAAGTATTGGCAATTATATTATATGTATATAAC